CAAGTGTCTTAGCCACTATGCTACCAGAGCTCCCAAATATAATAAATTACTAAAGTATAAATAGGAAGGGTCACTTTGTGCTTTAGTCACTGTAACAGACTGCATTCCTGAGTAGATACTGAGAAGTATCTACTATGTTCTCCAATCTTCAAAGTTGTTTGTTTTGTTATTCAGACAAAAGCAAAATAAAAACAAAACCCTACTCTAATTTCACAGAACAGAGTGTGAGACTTAGCTAAGAACACACTACAACATTTTCACAGCTAAATAAAGGTTTCATTTAAGTTTGATCTTGATAATGATGTTCTTTTAATAATTTAATAATCGGAGTCTACTTTTTTTGTTTGCTATTATATTTATAATTCATTAGCATACTTGTATTTTAGGGAAAGAGAAATTATGACACCTCAACTGTCTAAAGCAGATTTTAAAAATGAAAAAAGGAAAGCTACCTGATAAATGAATGTAAAAGAGAATTTTCAATAAAGAAAGTTTTTAAATACTCTACCTTATATTCCTTCTTCCATGCTTCAAAGAGATCCATTAAAGCACTTCCTTCATCAATGAATTCAACACCGAATCGATGCGATTTTGCAAAAGACAGTATTGCTTTCATAGAACGCTCTGTCTCACTTACTGCCCACAGACCCCGGCTGGTGGTAGGTACTCGGTCATCAACTAGTCCTTCTTCATCTTCTATCATCTCCTCAAATATTGCAGTCTGGCCTTTGACTCTGAAGACACACCAGAACAAAACAACAGCAAGTACAGTCAGGGCATAACAGGCACCATAAATGAGCGACACTGACAAAGCCAACAGGAAAGGCGTGTCTTTTCACTAACAACTTTTCAATGTCATGTCTACAAGGTCATGCTTTCAAGTGTCTGGGACAACCACAGCAACTGTGAATATGCTGGAAGCTTCAAAAATTTGTCCATGTTTCTTTAGAGCAATCTGACATAATACAGAAATGGTTATAACTTCCAAGCTACAATCTCATGGAGAACTGAAAACAAAAACAACACAAACCATCTACCACCAACTACCATGCAAACAAGAAAAATACTATGATCTGAAGATACACTGTTCATCCCTTCTTTTCTAGGGAGTTAGAATGTAGTTTTTCCTCAATTTCCACGGTAGTGTAGTGGCTAAGGCACTTGACTGCTAACCAGAAGGCTGGTGGTTCAA